CTATAATGGGGGCACAGCACTGGTGGATAAGGGAAGAGCAACTGATATCATCTACCTGGACTTGTGCAAAGCCTTTGACACTGTCCCACATGACATCCTTGTCTCTAAGTTGGAGAGACGGGCATTTGATGGATGAACCACTCAGTGGATAAAGAATTGACTGTATGGTCACACTCAAAGAGTTGTGGTCAATGGCTCAATGTCCAAGTGGAGACTGGTGATGAGTGGTGTTCCTCAGGGGTTGGTATCAGAACCAGTGTTGTTTAACATCTTTGTGGGGGACATGGACAGTGGGATTGAGTGCACCCTCAGCAAGTTTTCTGACAACACTGAGCTGTGTGGTGCAGTCAACACCCTGGAGGGAAGGGATGCCATCCAGAGGGACCTTGACAGGCTTGAGAGGTGGGCCAGTGCAAACCTCATGAAGTTCAACAAGGCCAAGTGCAAGGTCCAGCATGTGGGTCGGAGCAATCCCAAGCACAAATACAGGCTTGGAGAAGAATGAATTGAGAGCAGCCCTGAGGAAAAGAACTTGGGATGTTGGTTGAGAAGCTCAACATGACCCAGCAATGTGCTCCTGCAGCTCAGAAAGCCAACCAGAGCTTTTTTTCCAAAAGTGTGACCAGCAGGTTGAAGGAGGTAATTCTCCCCCTCTACTCTGCTCTCATGAGACCCCACCTGGAGTACTGCATCCAGCTCTGGAGTCCTCAGCACAGGAAGTCCATGGACCTGTTGGAGTCCAGAGGAAGGACACAAAAACGATCAGAGGGCTGGAGCACCTCCTCTATGAGGACAGGCTGAGAGAGCTGGGGTTGTTCAGCCTGGAGAAGAGAAGGCTCCAGGGAGACCTTAGAGCAGCCTTCCAATACCTGAAGGGGGCCTACAGGAGAGATGGGGAGGCACTCTTTATCAGGGAGTGGAGTGAGAGAACAGGGGGTAATGGGTATAAGCTGAAAGAGGGCATATTTAGACTAGATATTAGGAAGACATTTTTCACTGTGAGGGTGGTGAGACACTGGAACAGGTTGCCTGGGGAACCTGTGGATGCCCCATCCCTGGAGGTGTTCAAGGCCAGGCTGGATGAGGCTTTGAGCAACCTGGTCTAGTGGAGGGTGTCCCTGCCCATGGCAGGGGGGGTGGAACTAGATGATCTCTAAGGTCCCTTCCAACCCAAACCATTCTATAACTCTATGAATTACATCCTGATGTTACACGCTGGTGAAGTTATACACTGGCTCTACAGTGTGTCTGCATGTGCAGCTGTTTGTGCAAGAGATGAACATGACCTCTCTTCATGCCATGAAAACTTGCTTTGATGGGGTCTCTGTAGGCTATGCCATCAGAGCATGCCCTAAAGTGAGAGGTTTCTACTGCAAAAGACAACAACTGCAAGAAGTAGAGAGGTCTGTTAAGCAGAAAGCATCTTTCCCCCCTCCCCCCATGTGAAGCAGCCTTTGCAGACACAGGATTCATCCTTTTAGATTAGATGATTAAATAATTCTAAGAAAGCAACTGGTTTAAATACCCTGCCTCCCCATGTAACACTGTGCTTTAAATCATATTGATATAAAAAAAACCCAAACCAAAACATAAGCGCTGCTGGCTTCCTAAACAGCTCCACCTCTCCCATGGCTCTATACTCTCCTGCCCTACACACATCAGTTGAGAAATGTTTTTCACAAGTGATGGAAAAATAATTCCATCAATGGCAATAAATGCAATTTTCAACAGACCTCTCTGCAGGAATATCCCTCTCTTGAAGGTTCACCTGTTTTTCTCTCAATGGACTGTGTTTGCCTGCCTTTACTACAAAAAGCCATCAAGGAGCAGAGTCAGCACCCCCCTTTTCCTTCCTCAGCAGATGAGCAATAAGATACTTAATGGAAGAATTAATCTGTACTAGGAGCTTTGCAATGCAGCACACTTTATTCCTCTTGGACCAAGCGGAGGTAAATCTCATTTTTCCTCCCTCACAGGATATGTGCCAGGTTTTAAGAACTTTCTTTGACGCCAGCAAAGGCAAACCATACGATGGAGTGACTCTCTTCCAGCAAAGTACAACCAGCTCTACAACAGGTACTGCTATTTAGCAGCATTCAGCAATTCAACAGTTTTATTTAAGACAAAGAGCACACATTATACCCCATCAGCTCTCAACCTCTAACCTGAGGCTTAGTGAATAACATTAAAAGAAGCTAAAATGTGTTAAATACCATCCTATTTTTATGCAGGCACACAATCTATGTAATGATGAGAGGCACGGTCTAGAATACAAATAGGAGCAGAATTCAGCCCAAACATCACAGATACCTGGGGATCCACTTGCTTTGCAATCTCTAAAATGTCCTAGGGGTCTCCTAGCTACAAAGTGTGAGGCAAGCCAAGAGAAAGAACAGGATAGGATTAAGTTGAAATCTCCTAAATTGAGCCAAGGACAGAATCACCCATGATGGACGTTGGCTAAGACAGAAAATCCTCTCTGCTGCTGTCCTTCATAACCATCTCTCCCTTCAAGAGGAAGTCTGTTTTTCACTTCAGGATGAAAATATTTTCTGTTAGATTCTCTAGAAGTGAATCAACACAATTCTTTGGCTGGAACATGCAGTCACATACTGGCCACACAGCAGAAATGCCGGCAACAGCAATCCCAGAGTGGAGGCTTTTATTACAAATACTCGTGCTTAGAGATTCTTGTACCACACCACCTCATACTCCATGTCTATGTCTAGCTCGAAAAGCCCAAACCATGTCGATTAGGAGTCACTTTTGTCTAAAAAGCTTCTATCTTCTGTAGTTTGTCACGGAAATGTGTCATTAGTTCTCCTACAACTATATTTTTTTTCAGTGAAATGACATAACTACAGAGCCAGATTAGCTGAACCGTGTCTCTACACAACAGCTTCTGAAGGCATATGTTTGCTTGTGAGGATATCGGGAAATAATAATTTGTATAATATATTTTAAAAGAGTAAAAGTATTGTATTTTGGTTTTATTTCTGGACAGAATTTATCTACCATGGGTGACTTCCACCATTAGTACCAAGATTAGAAATACTGTCAGTTTGCTTTGATAAATTGTTTTTTTAATCTCTGAGATACTTACCTATGCCTTTGAAGCCTGAAATAATTTTAGCAACTCTAACAGAAATATCATGATCTGTTCAAACTACACCTGAGAGAATTTAGGCAGAGGTACCAGCTGTAACATGAACAGTTGCCTGCTGATTGAACAAACCACTGAACAATTAATTCCTCAAGCATCACTAGTTTGGCTGTCACATGAGGTTAAGTAGCCTTTCAGTTAATTCAGTCTAGTGTCTACATCAATACTGCAGAATGCAGGAGCAAGAGAAGTTTTAAATACCATACGTCTATCACTAAAAGATGACTGAAGATGCTCCCAGCTTCAATAGCTTCTGTTTTCATCCCTCTATGAAACTGTTTCATTGTAACAGCTGGTCAGCAAAGCTGAGCGGAGAGTTTAATGCAAAATGTCTGCTCCAGGGTTAATGGCAACACAGCCACAGCCATGGTCAGCACTCTTCTCTATACAGTTGTTCTGTATTCAGCTTTTCTGCAAAAATTAGATGCTTCTTTATCCCTTTGAAACCACACTGGCTGGCAGGTAAGTATTTTTTGGCTAGATAACAAGCAAGCATTTACTTTCTTCTTATAGGTATAGCAACCAGAAAAATCTTTGCTTGCAAGAATTGCTCCTTCATGCCACAGAGCAGAGAAATGTGAGAGATGCTGAACTAAAGCTTCTAGCAGCCATGCAGGTTTCTGGCAAAGTAGCATCACAACAACTTTGCACTTGTGTAAAGCCAACAGCCCCTCAGCCTCCACACAATGA